GCTTGAGCTTGCTCTGCCCTACAGAGCTCGTCAAGGTGTGTTAGAAGCAGTCGAGTGGTTGGCGGGTCAGTGCTTTGTTGGGCTTGAGCTTGCTCTGCCCTACAGAGCTCGTCAAGGTGTGTTAGAAGCAGTCGAGTGGTTGGCGGGTCAGTGCTTTGTTGGGCTTGAGCTTGCTCTGCCCTACAGAGCTCGTCAAGGTGTGTTAGAAGCAGTCGAGTGGTTGGCGGGTCAGTGCTTTGTTGGGCTTGAGCTTGCTCTGCCCTACAGAGCTCGTCAAGGTGTGTTAGAAGCAGTCGAGTCGAGTGGTTGGCGGGTCAGTGCTTTGTTGGGCTTGAGCTTGCTCTGCCCTACAGAGCTCGTCAAGGTGTGTTAGAAGCAGTCGAGTGGTTGGCGGGTCAGTGCTTTGTTGGGCTTGAGCTTGCTCTGCCCTACAGAGCTCGTCAAGGTGTGTTAGAAGCAGTCGAGTCGAGTGGTTGGCGGGTCAGTGCTTTGTTGGGCTTGAGCTTGCTCTGCCCTACAGAGCTCGTCAAGGTGTGTTAGAAGCAGTCGAGTGGTTGGCGGGTCAGTGCTTTGTTGGGCTTGAGCTTGCTCTGCCCTACAGAGCTCGTCAAGGTGTGTTAGAAGCAGTCGAGTCGAGTGGTTGGCGGGTCAGTGCTTTGTTGGGCTTGAGCTTGCTCTGCCCTACAGAGCTCGTCAAGGTGTGTTAGAAGCAGTCGAGTGGTTGGCGGGTCAGTGCTTTGTTGGGCTTGAGCTTGCTCTGCCCTACAGAGCTCGTCAAGGTGTGTTAGAAGCAGTCGAGTGGTTGGCGGGTCAGTGCTTTGTTGGGCTTGAGCTTGCTCTGCCCTACAGAGCTCGTCAAGGTGTGTTAGAAGCAGTCGAGTGGTTGGCGGGTCAGTGCTTTGTTGGGCTTGAGCTTGCTCTGCCCTACAGAGCTCGTCAAGGTGTGTTAGAAGCAGTCGAGTGGTTGGCGGGTCAGTGCTTTGTTGGGCTTGAGCTTGCTCTGCCCTACAGAGCTCGTCAAGGTGTGTTAGAAGCAGTCGAGTGGTTGGCGGGTCAGTGCTTTGTTGGGCTTGAGCTTGCTCTGCCCTACAGAGCTCGTCAAGGTGTGTTAGAAGCAGTCGAGTGGTTGGCGGGACAGTGCTTTGTTGGGCTTGAGCTTGCTCTGCCCTACAGAGCTCGTCAAGGTGTGTTAGAAGCAGTCGAGTGGTTGGCGGGTCAGTGCTTTGTTGGGCTTGAGCTTGCTCTGCCCTACAGAGCTCGTCAAGGTGTGTTAGAAGCAGTCGAGTGGTTGGCGGGTCAGTGCTTTGTTGGGCTTGAGCTTGCTCTGCCCTACAGAGCTCGTCAAGGTGTTTTAGAAGCAGTCGAGTGGTTGGCAGGTCAGTGCTTTGTTGGGCTTGAGCTTGCTCTGCCCTACAGAGCTCGTCAAGGTGTGTTAGAAGCAGTCGAGTGGTTGGCGGGTCAGTGCTTTGTTGGGCTTGAGCTTGCTCTGCCCTACAGAGCTCGTCAAGGTGTGTTAGAAGCAGTCGAGTGGTTGGCGGGTCAGTGCTTTGTTGGGCTTGAGCTTGCTCTGCCCTACAGAGCTCGTCAAGGTGTGTTAGAAGCAGTCGAGTGGTTGGCGGGTCAGTGCTTTGTTGGGCTTGAGCTTGCTCTGCCCTACAGAGCTCGTCAAGGTGTGTTAGAAGCAGTCGAGTGGTTGGCGGGTCAGTGCTTTGTTGGGCTTGAGCTTGCTCTGCCCTACAGAGCTCGTCAAGGTGTGTTAGAAGCAGTCGAGTGGTTGGCGGGTCAGTGCTTTGTTGGGCTTGAGCTTGCTCTGCCCTACAGAGCTCGTCAAGGTGTGTTAGAAGCAGTCGAGTCGAGTGGTTGGCGGGTCAGTGCTTTGTTGGGCTTGAGCTTGCTCTGCCCTACAGAGCTCGTCAAGGTGTGCTAGAAGCAGTCGAGTGGTTGGCGGGTCAGTGCTTTGTTGGGCTTGAGCTTGCTCTGCCCTACAGAGCTCGTCAAGGTGTGTTAGAAGCAGTCGAGTGGTTGGCGGGTCAGTGCTTTGTTGGGCTTGAGCTTGCTCTGCCCTACAGAGCTCGTCAAGGTGTGTTAGAAGCAGTCGAGTGGTTGGCGGGTCAGTGCTTTGTTGGGCTTGAGCTTGCTCTGCCCTACAGAGCTCGTCAAGGTGTGTTAGAAGCAGTCGAGTGGTTGGCGGGTCAGTGCTTTGTTGGGCTTGAGCTTGCTCTGCCCTACAGAGCTCGTCAAGGTGTGTTAGAAGCAGTCGAGTGGTTGGCGGGTCAGTGCTTTGTTGGGCTTGAGCTTGCTCTGCCCTACAGAGCTCGTCAAGGTGTGTTAGAAGCAGTCGAGTGGTTGGCGGGTCAGTGCTTTGTTGGGCTTGAGCTTGCTCTGCCCTACAGAGCTCGTCAAGGTGTGTTAGAAGCAGTCGAGTCGAGTGGTTGGCGGGTCAGTGCTTTGTTGGGCTTGAGCTTGCTCTGCCCTACAGAGCTCGTCAAGGTGTGTTAGAAGCAGTCGAGTCGAGTGGTTGGCGGGTCAGTGCTTTGTTGGGCTTGAGCTTGCTCTGCCCTACAGAGCTCGTCAAGGTGTGTTAGAAGCAGTCGAGTGGTTGGCGGGTCAGTGCTTTGTTGGGCTTGAGCTTGCTCTGCCCTACAGAGCTCGTCAAGGTGTGCTAGAAGCAGTCGAGTGGTTGGCGGGTCAGTGCTTTGTTGGGCTTGAGCTTGCTCTGCCCTACAGAGCTCGTCAAGGTGTGTTAGAAGCAGTCGAGTCGAGTGGTTGGCGGGTCAGTGCTTTGTTGGGCTTGAGCTTGCTCTGCCCTACAGAGCTCGTCAAGGTGTGTTAGAAGCAGTCGAGTGGTTGGCGGGTCAGTGCTTTGTTGGGCTTGAGCTTGCTCTGCCCTACAGAGCTCGTCAAGGTGTGTTAGAAGCAGTCGAGTCGAGTGGTTGGCGGGTCAGTGCTTTGTTGGGCTTGAGCTTGCTCTGCCCTACAGAGCTCGTCAAGGTGTGCTAGAAGCAGTCGAGTGGTTGGCGGGTCAGTGCTTTGTTGGGCTTGAGCTTGCTCTGCCCTACAGAGCTCGTCAAGGTGTGTTAGAAGCAGTCGAGTGGTTGGCGGGTCAGTGCTTTGTTGGGCTTGAGCTTGCTCTGCCCTACAGAGCTCGTCAAGGTGTGTTAGAAGCAGTCGAGTCGAGTGGTTGGCGGGTCAGTGCTTTGTTGGGCTTGAGCTTGCTCTGCCCTACAGAGCTCGTCAAGGTGTGTTAGAAGCAGTCGAGTCGAGTGGTTGGCGGGTCAGTGCTTTGTTGGGCTTGAGCTTGCTCTGCCCTACAGAGCTCGTCAAGGTGTGTTAGAAGCAGTCGAGTCGAGTGGTTGGCGGGTCAGTGCTTTGTTGGGCTTGAGCTTGCTCTGCCCTACAGAGCTCGTCAAGGTGTGTTAGAAGCAGTCGAGTGGTTGGCGGGTCAGTGCTTTGTTGGGCTTGAGCTTGCTCTGCCCTACAGAGCTCGTCAAGGTGTGCTAGAAGCAGTCGAGTGGTTGGCGGGTCAGTGCTTTGTTGGGCTTGAGCTTGCTCTGCCCTACAGAGCTCGTCAAGGTGTGTTAGAAGCAGTCGAGTCGAGTGGTTGGCGGGTCAGTGCTTTGTTGGGCTTGAGCTTGCTCTGCCCTACAGAGCTCGTCAAGGTGTGTTAGAAGCAGTCGAGTGGTTGGCGGGTCAGTGCTTTGTTGGGCTTGAGCTTGCTCTGCCCTACAGAGCTCGTCAAGGTGTGTTAGAAGCAGTCGAGTCGAGTGGTTGGCGGGTCAGTGCTTTGTTGGGCTTGAGCTTGCTCTGCCCTACAGAGCTCGTCAAGGTGTGCTAGAAGCAGTCGAGTGGTTGGCGGGTCAGTGCTTTGTTGGGCTTGAGCTTGCTCTGCCCTACAGAGCTCGTCAAGGTGTGTTAGAAGCAGTCGAGTGGTTGGCGGGTCAGTGCTTTGTTGGGCTTGAGCTTGCTCTGCCCTACAGAGCTCGTCAAGGTGTGTTAGAAGCAGTCGAGTGGTTGGCGGGTCAGTGCTTTGTTGGGCTTGAGCTTGCTCTGCCCTACAGAGCTCGTCAAGGTGTGTTAGAAGCAGTCGAGTCGAGTGGTTGGCGGGTCAGTGCTTTGTTGGGCTTGAGCTTGCTCTGCCCTACAGAGCTCGTCAAGGTGTGTTAGAAGCAGTCGAGTGGTTGGCGGGTCAGTGCTTTGTTGGGCTTGAGCTTGCTCTGCCCTACAGAGCTCGTCAAGGTGTGTTAGAAGCAGTCGAGTCGAGTGGTTGGCGGGTCAGTGCTTTGTTGGGCTTGAGCTTGCTCTGCCCTACAGAGCTCGTCAAGGTGTGTTAGAAGCAGTCGAGTGGTTGGCGGGTCAGTGCTTTGTTGGGCTTGAGCTTGCTCTGCCCTACAGAGCTCGTCAAGGTGTGTTAGAAGCAGTCGAGTGGTTGGCGGGTCAGTGCTCGGCATGTGTATGACCGCCCTGCGTGCTCTGCTGTCTCCCACTTCCTCAAGTGCCTCAAGTGCCTCAAGTGCCTCGAGTTCCTCGAGTGCTCCGTGCTCGTCTCATTCAATAGAAGCATCTTCTGCTGCTTGTTGTGTCTGCTGCTCGTCTCTTGCAGTGTCGCCTTCAAGTGCAGGCCCAGTCCCCGGCTCTCTCACCTGCCGCCTCTGTATATACCGCAGCAGCAGCACCAGCAGCAGCATCAGCGGGTGCTTCTAAGCGAGTTTCTGCCATGTCTCGCCTGACCCCTTCGTTTGCCGCTGCTGCTCACCCCGCCCCGTTCAGTACAAACTCTGCCTTCCCCTCCCTAGCACGCACCCCAGCAGCAGCAGCAACATCAGCAGCTGCAGCAGCAGCTGCAACATCCCAACGCCAGGAAATCCATTCGCAATCGCCTCTGCAACAACAAGCTTTGATGCAGCAGCAGCATTTTCAGCAGCAGCAGCAGCAGCGGGTGGTGGGGAGTGCGGGTCACTACAAGGGCCCTTGGGATTGTGTGGTTCAGACCGTCAAGGCCGATGGGGTAAGTCATGCCGGATCTATGCTAATGATGGGGGAGTGAGTGACTGACTGACTGAGAGGGGTTGTTGGAGAGGGAGGGAGAGGGGGATTAGAGGAATAAGGGCGCATTCCCAGTTGGTGGCAGGGCAACTGTTCAGCGTTGACCTGGTGGCAACTTTTCTAAAAACACAGGGGGGCGGAAAATGCGCATGCCACCAACTCAACATGAACATTTGCCCTGCCACCAACCGGGAATACGCCTCAATTCTGTTGTTAGCGGAGTTATTTGCGTGTTCAACTGCTTCTGAATAACGTTTCTCCACCTCATTCTCCCCTCCCTTGTCTTTCTCTCATTTCCCTCTCTCTCCTCCTGCAGCCACAGGGGTTGTTCAGAGGCCTGGCAGCGACAGCACTGAGGGAGTCGCTGGGCAACATCGGCTTCTTTCTCACCTACGAGGCCATCAAGCACCGCCTCTCTTACTCTCCCCCTCCTTGTCTCTCTCTCCTTTCCCCCTCCTTCGTGCTGCAGCCGCAGGGGTTATTCAGAGGCTTGGCAGCAACAGCACTGAGGGAGTCGCTGGGCAACATCGGCTTCTTTCTCACCTACGAAGCCATCAAACACCGCCTCCTCCCCGTCCTCGCCCCCTCCTCTCCCTCACACTCCTCTCCCTCGTCTTCCTCCTCTGCCTCCTCGGACCTCTCAGTTGAGAATGTGTATGAAGGGTCATTCCGAGACAGGGAGGCGTCGAGGAGACGAGATGTGGCAGACGGGAGAGGGGGCGAAGGGGAAGGGGTGTTGAGGGGGAGGGAGGCAGAGGGAGTGGGCGGGGCGAGTGAGTGGCGGAGGGTGGCAGCTGAGGCTGCTACTGCCATTGCCAGTGGGGGGATAGCAGGCATTGTGGTGAGTCGAGTGATTCTTTAGTTGGATATATAATCCGAGGAGGTGGGCAGGTTGAGTGGGTGGCAGCTGAGGCTGCTACTGCCATTGCCAGTGGGGGGATAGCAGGCATTGTGGTGAGTCGGGTGCTTCTTTAGTTGGATATATAATCAGAGGAGGTGGGCAGGTTGAGTGGGTGGCAGCTGAGGCTGCCACGGCCATTGCCAGTGGGGCCCGCCTTAGCAGGCATTGTGGTGAGTGGCAGCTCTCGGTTCGCTGCTTTGGCTCGTACTGGCCTCACTTGGTTGTCACATGGTTGTCTGTCGGTGTCATTCCTCCAATTCTTCCTTGGCCTCCGTGACTAGTGACCTCGGTGTCTGTGACTAGTGACCTCGGTGTCCGTGACTAGTGACCTCGGTGTCCGTGACTAGTGACCTCGGTGTCTGTGACTACGTCGCCCTAGTGCTGCGTAAGCTGTGGGTGGTAGACTGGAAGTGTTTCTCTACTTGTCCCAATCACGATCCGCATTCAAGGCGACCCTCCCTCCCCTCCCTCCCCTCCCCTCCCCTCCCCACTTCCCCCGCCTTCCACCCCGCACATCAGTTCTGGTCAGCGGTGCTCCCATTCGATGTCATCAAGACGCGCATTCAGACGGCCGACACGTCGGCATCGCCCGAGTCGCTGAGAATGCTCAGCCAGTGCAAAGCCGTGAGTGCTCAGCCAGTGCAAAGCTGTGAGTGCTCTGCTGAGAATGCTCAGCCAGTGCAAAGCTGTGAGTGCTCCTCTGATCAATCTGAGCACTTCTCTGATGGCCTCTGTGTTGCTCCAGCATGCTGCCGCTCTCCCTGCTTTGCCTTGAGTCGGTGCAGCTCCTGCCATGCTTCTTGTATCTTGTCTCAGTCCGTTTCGCACCTTGTACCATCCCTCCTGGTTTCATTTTCAGATTCTAAGGGAGAGTGGCATCAGGGGGTTCTATGCAGGTCTCCTGCCCACACTCACCCGAGCTTTCCCGGCCAATGCTGCGGCTGTTGTTGCCTGGGAGCTCACCTCGAGGCTGCTAGGGGTCTCCAACCCTTGACAATAATAATTTTACAGTAGCTTTGAAACCATTCCAGTTCAGAAGCAGCATTCACTGCCAATGCTTCGGCAGTGTAGTTACCTTATTAGAGATGCCTTCTATTTCTCTGAATTGTCAGGATTGTGGTAGCAATCCTTCGTGGTTAGAAAAGGGTGCTCAAATGTGTAATGGTTGATGCCTAGACTATCTTGCTTGTAAAGCTATTATATATATAAATAACAAAATCTGGTGAAGCTCCTGAATTCACACTCCCAGAGCACCAACTTCATACCAGAATGAGAGCAATATAATCTACATGCTGACTGATAACTTAACGGTACCAGTCACACCGCCAGACACAAACCTGACACCAACCAAAGCCCACTTCCAGCCAGAAACAGAAACAGCAGCCAGCAAGCTCTGTATCACAGCAATCCGCCTACAGGGTCCATTGGACTAGCAGCCGCAGCAGAGGCTGAACCCATATCAGGCACAGCAGCAGCCGGCGCAGCGGAGCCCAAGTCAGAAAGCAGATCTCCCCCGAGCAGGTCCCCACCGGCAAGCTCTGGATTACAGCAGCCCACCCACAGGGTCCATTGGACTAGAAGCAGCAGCAGCAGCAGCAGCAGCAGCAGCAGCAGCAGCAGCAGCAGCAGCAGCAGCAGCAGCAGAAGCAGAGGCTGAACCCGCGTCAGGCACAGCAGCAGGTGGCACAGACGAGCCCAAGTCCGAAAGCAGATCTCCCCCGAGCAGGTCCCCACCAGCTGAAGCTCCGGATCACAGCAGCCCATCCACAGGGTCCATTGGACTAGCAGCAGCAGCAGCAGCAGCAGCAGCAGAAGCAGAGGCTGAACCCGCGTCAGGCACAGCAGCAGCGGATACAGACGAGTCCAAGTCAGAAAGCAGATCTCCCCCGAGCAGGTCCCCACCGGCTGGTGCTGCAGCTGGGGCAGCAGAGGTTGCAGGGGCCATGGGAACCGAAGCAAACACGTCTCCGAATGGGTCCACCATTGGCACTGCTGCTGCTGCTGGGGCTGCAGCAGATGCTGTTGCTCCTGCTCCTGCCGATGATGACGATGAGGTTCTGTCTGCTACCCCATTACCCAGCGACACTCCTGAGGCCGCACCACCGGTGCCACTACCGCCAACACCACTGCCAGAAGCAGCAGCGCCGGACGCGACGGTGCTCCAGAGGTCAGAGAGAGCGTCTGGCTTCTTGCTGCTCGTGGATCCCAAGGGAGAGGCTGTCCACGTGGCAGCCAGCCCGCCCATCCCGCCTCCCCCCGCCGCTCCTGCAAGCCCCAGCGCCCCTGGGCCTGCAGCTGCTCCCGCTGTGCCGCCAACACCAGCAGCAGCAGCGGCGGCGGCAACGGGAACCCCGGTGGGAGGGGCTTCTTTGAAAGAGGCTTGGATGGAGATGGGAGGTGGGATGGTGACGGAGTAGACGCCAGAGACGGACGGCGTGGGCGCGGGCGCGGAAGGGGTGAGCAGCCAGGGGGGGGGCGCGGGGGTGAAGGTGGGGGAGAGGGCTACTGTGGGAGGGCCTGAGTAGGCGGGGGCTTTGGGGGCGGCGGTGGCTGGGGAAGGGGAGGAGGAGGAACCGAGGAGCATGGAGGCTAAGTCCCCTCCCTTGGATACCTGGAGAGGCCCGTGGAGCGGGGGGGGGAAGGGGGGAAGCGGACGGGGGAAAGGGGAGGGGAGAGAGGGAAGGCGGGGGAGGTTGACGGAGGGGTCGAGGGGGAAATTTTGCAGAGGCAAGCGAGTGCAAGGGGAGGGAAGGTGAGGGAACGAGCAGGGGTCTGAGACAGCTGGCATGAACGCGCGGACGAGAACCATGAAGAATTGGAAGAGATTCACGGCGACTCACGGAGGAGAGGCACGTCGACTCACGGAGGCAAGCGAGAAGCCGCTGCGCTGGTCCTTGAGGCTGGCCCCCGCTGCCTTGCCGGGCGCTCCCCCGATGCCAAAGTCGAACTCATAGTTCTGCCATGCACGCACCCACCCACCCATCCACCCATGCACCGCACGGCGAGCAACGTGCAGGATGTCAGATCAACATTAGAGCTCATTTCCACAGATCAACGTCAGATCAACGTCAGCTCGACGTCAGCTCGACGTCAGCTTGACGTCAGCGCTATGCCGGGACATCCCAAGCTTTGACACTCATAATGGAATCCCCATTGTATCGCATTGCTATCCACCCTGGTGCGAAATGCATGATTGTAAGAAAAGCAATTTCATGCCGTCCGAAAATTCCAGAATACTGCGTTTAGCCCGGTAGCGAGCTTGCCTGTAGCGGAGCCGCAGCAGTGAGGACATTTATGGTCTTCTGCTGTTGTTCCTTCGACGCTGCCGTCGCCATGTCTACCCGAAATGGTAAGTCCTACTCGTGAAAGTAACAGTGGAAATTGAATAAAATAGGAATCCTTTGAACGATGCACGGACCGTTGTAATGCGGGAGAGAATCACAGAAACGGCTGTTGGAAAAGAGAGGACGACGGATGTGAAAACTGGTTCTGGGCGTGAGAGAAGAACTCTCGAGAAATGTGGGCGAAATGGTGAAGCAGGGATGAAAGATTTGACAGATTGATGTTGGAGGCTTTCTCTGGTTTGGTATGAAGGGGTGGGCGATCGCTGGCGAAGCGATCGTGACGATGTGTAACCGAATTCTCTTGTTGCGAGGGCCAGGAGAGAAGCCTAAACTGTTCGGTAGTGTACTCCAGAAAACAATGTGATAACACAATACTCGTCTTGCTTATTGGATGTGAGCATAAGTGACAAGCCACACCAGAGCTCACCTATGTGAGCTACACGGATTTCCACTTAACAGCTATCTGGGCACAGAGAGTGTGTCCTTACTAAAGGACACAAATGCCTAGCTTAGTAAGCAGTGTCCTGACCTAGAGTAGGCAAAGCGGGCAGATTCACTGCACGCGATCCATATCCTCCCTCCTGTGGAAGAACTGTTCTTCAGCAGCAGCAGCAGCAGCAGCAGCAGCAGCAGCAGCAGCAGCGCCCATGGCCCATTTGGAGACGTGTTTGCCTCGGTTCCCATGGCCCCTGCACCCTCTGCTGCCCCACCAGCTGCAGCAGCAGCAGCCAGTGGGGACCTCCTGGGGGGGTCTGCCTTTTGACTCGGGCCCGTCTCCCAATTTGCGTCTCTTCCCGCCCTACAGGCGTACACCTGTTCTCTAAATTATTTCCACCTCCATCTCCTGCACATCCTCCTCCATTTCAGGCATGGGCGGTGGTAGATACCGGGCATTGAAAATCCGCCGGCTAGACAGCCCAAACGTTTCTCGGAGAGGCATGCTGAGATGCCGTTGAATGCCCGCGGCAACGGTTGTAGGCGAGTCAGCGAAGCCGGTTGTAGAGAGGATTTCGGCAAAGGCGTTGGGGATGGTGGTGAGCATGTACTGTATTACTGACTGCGGCACGGTTGAGTCCTGGTCGAAAAAGAGAAGATGGATCTGCACTGACACCTGTAGGGACAGGCAAAAGGAATGGGAGGTGGAGAACAATACGAGAATAAGGTCCCAAGTGCAGCACTGAACATGGTGAGGTGCAGCAGTGACCCACTGAGGCAGGTGCAGCTTTGATCCACGAGAGGATGTCAAAGGGGACTTGAGGTTGCTGAAGCCGATGTGGGACCGCAGAGAGAATTGCTGCACCATCCATCCTCACATGCAGCATGAGCACTCACCCGTGGAAGGATGTCTCTCACGTCACACGCGAAGGCGGTCTTGAGGTTGCTGAAGCCAATGTCGGGGCGCAGCAGGAAGAGCGGAGGTACCACGAGTCAACTATCCCCCTCCATCCACCCCTCTCCATCCAGCCCTGTCTCCAATATGCAGCATGCATGAGCACTCACCCGTGGCAGGATGTCTCGCACGTCGCATGCAAAGGCCGTCTTGAGGTTGCTGAAGCCGATGTCGGGGCGCAGCAGGAAGAGCGGGCCTGTGAAGTCGCGCACGTGAGGCGCCTTCACATCATCGGCTGTCAGAACGGGCGCACACCCTCTGCTCCACATCTGCGGGTTTCACCAGGACAAGTATGGGTAGATGGGGGGGTTGTAAGAGGTCTCAGAAGTCGCGCACGTGAGGCGCCTTCATGTCGTCTGCTGTGAGCACGGGCGCACACCCTCTGCTCCACATCTGCGGGTTTCACCAGGACAAGTATGGGCAGATGCGGGGGTTGTAAGAGGTCTCAGAAGTCGCGCACGTGAGGCGCCTTCACGTCGTCTGCTGTGAGCACGGGCGCACACCCTCTGCTCCACATCTGCATGCATCACCGGAATAAAGCACACATGGGCAGATGCGGGCGGGGGATATGTATGTAAGATAAGGAAGGGATCTGAATCGTCTCTAAAGTCGCGCACGTGAGGCGCCTTGATACTCAAGGGCTTTGAAATCCATGGCAGATGCGGAAGGGGGATGTGGACGGGAAATGCGAAGTGGGCAATGGATGGGCGATGTGGTGAAGAGGGTAAAACAAGGGGAAGGGAGATTGCGACACACACGTCAACTTTGAGCCTTGGATTGGCAGAGTCTCAGCGGCTGCAGGAACAGGAAGAAGTGAATGAGGGCAACAGCAGCAGCAGCCACAAACTCACTGACCTTGAAGTTGCCTTGCATGATGCCGAACACCTGGTCCAGGTCGTTCAGTGCAAAGCCCCCCTCATAGCCTGGAGCATCCAGCAACCTGCCATTGCAGTTCCAGAAAAGCAAAAGAACAAGGGGACTGAGTCGCTGAGTTTACATGTACAAGCACGTTCACTCAATCTGGAAACATAACCACTCAAGCAAGAGAAACAACACAATCGGTAGCTAGACCACCTGCAGAGAACTTCGCCACAAAGTCACCTGGGCGAGGAGCCCATGTTGATGATGCGCGTTCGAGGGAAGAGGTGACTTTTGAGTCGACTCAAAAGTCAAAGAATTACCCACCTGGGCGAGGAGCCCATGATGATGATGCGCTTGAACACTTTCGGGCGCTCCAGGGAGGCGAGCAGCCCCATCATGCCGCTCTGCTGGTGTCCTATGAACGTGCACTGATGGCCCCAGTCCGTGCCCTGGTAGCGCCGAGATGGGAGGCACAAATGGAGGGAGAAGGGGAAGGAGGGAGAGGGTAAGGAGGCGAGCAGCCCCATCATGCCGCTCTGCTGGTGTCCTATGAACGTGCACTGATGGCCCCAGTCCGTGCCCTGGTAGCGCCGAGATGGGAGGCACAAATGGAGGGAGAAGGGGAAGGAGGGAGAGGGTAAGGAGGCGAGCAGCCCCATCATGCCGCTCTGCTGGTGTCCTATGAACGTGCACTGATGGCCCCAGTCCGTGCCCTGGTAGCGCCGAGATGGGAGGCACAAATGGAGGGAGAAGGGGAAGGAGGGAGAGGGTAAGGAGGCGAGCAGCCCCATCATGCCGCTCTGCTGGTGTCCTATGAACGTGCACTGATGGCCCCAGTCTGTGCCCTGGTAGCGCCGAGATGGGAGGCACAAATGGAGGGAGAAGGGGAAGGAGGGAGAGGGTAAGGAAGCGAGCAGTCCCATCATGCCGCTCTGCTGGTGGCCTATGAACGTGCACTGATGGCCCCAGTCCGTGCCCTGATAGTTCAGAGATGAGCGGCACGGGTGGGGAGGGATGGGGAGAGGAAGGGGGAAGGGGAGACGGGTGGAAAGGGGGAGAGAGGGGAGGAGGGGAGAGGGCGGAGGGGAGAGGAGAGGGAGAATGGGGAAGGGAAAAGGAGGGGAGAGGAAAGGGGAGAGGGCTCCTCCAGCAGGTACAAAGGGTCCGTTGCCAAGCCACCGTTCTCAACCACTACCCCTCCATCCCAGCCCAACCCTTCCATCCTGCACCATAGCCCCCAAGGAGCATACCTCTACAATCCTTCCCTTTCCCCCTTCCCCACAGCGTACTTCTATAACCATCTCCTTTTCCACAACAAATATCCACCAGCCTCCCCTCCCCCACCTCGTCCTCGCAGCATACCTCAACGCCCAGCTCCCCCAGCAGCTGCAGCAGGTCCTCTGCAAATCCATGCAATGATTGGTTGCGAACCGAGACCCCTGCTGTCCCACTCTCTAGCCCTCAAGAAGCATAGCTCTACTGTTCCTCCCCCCCCCTCCCCCCCCAGCATACTTTACCGCCCAGCTCCCCCAGCAGCTGCAGCAGGTCCTCTGCAAAGCCATACAGCGGTTGATTGTGAACCAACACAATTTCCCTCTGTCCCACACGCGAGCCAACAAAGAACATACCTTTATTGCACCTTCTCCACCCTCCCAGCATACCTCGACGCCCAGCTCCCCCAGCAGCTGCAGCAGGTCCTTTGCGAAGCCATGCAGCGGCTGGTTTCGAACCGAAAGCCCTGCTGTCCCGCTCTCTAGCCCTCAAGAAGCATACCTCTCCTGCGCTCCCTCAGCAAACCTATCTTGCTCTCCCCCCAGCGTACCTCGACGCCCAGCTCCCCCAGCAGCTGCAGCAGGTCCTCTGCAAAGCCATGCAGCGTGCTGTAGCGCTGGTAGTCAAACGCGTCATAGTCCGTGCTGGTTGGGGGGAAAGGGGGGTTTTGGGGGGGGGAGAGGGTGGGGGGGATGTTGAGAGGGGGGTGAGGACGGAAAGGAATAATAGGAAAAAAAAAAGGTTGGAAGGCGCGAAAGGTTGAAAGACGGAGGTGGCAGGAAAGTGGGAAAGGGGGAGGGGGAGTGAGGGAGGAGCGGGGAGAGGAGGGGGTGGGAAGGGGAAGGAGGAGGGGAGGGGTGTTGGGGGGGACGGTTTTGACAATTGATTGGAATAGGGTGCACGCCATAGTGTGTCACATCT